ACGTTTTCTCAATTACATGTTGTGTTTCTTAATTACATATTACGACTTCTTAATTACAACTTTCATATTCTCATTTACATCTTGAGATTACATGGTTTCGAATACCGGCTTTTAAAAGGCTTAAATACCGGTATTTCGGTATTTGAATGGTTGTTTTTTTTTTTCTGTTTTTTTTAGCAATATTTGTATACTTCATTTAATTCTTAAATTAAAAAAGTGTTACAACATTTAAGTAGATATTAAAATGCAACTATTTTTGAACATATAGCATTGTCGTATTTCAGATTATAAATATACGAAATTTCGTAAACATTTGTTGCTTATTTTAAAAATATTTTTTATTCTATCGTGTGTTTAAACTCATTGTTTGAGTAAAATTCTAGTATATTAAAGTAAAACTGTCAAACTCTGATTCATAGACAACTCTTTGATGAAACTTTTCGCATTACTTAACTCATTTTTAAAACCATTCAAATTTCCGGGAGGTTTATAATTACGGGATGTTGTTTTTATTCTTTTTTGAAACAATTATAAGTGTTTATACTTTAAAGCAATGTGTTAAAACATTCTTTAGTTTTTGAGTTCTTGATTTTACATTTTTAGTTATACGGCGAGGATCTAAAAAGTAAAAACGAGTTCACATTTATACAAGTTATAAAATCTTTATATACCTATATTTTGATACTTTTTAAAAATAATTACCAAGAACAACTTTGGTAAGTTTAAAAATTAACATTTTCAAGTTTAAATTTAAATATTTAAATTCATTTTATTTAATGTTTATATCAGTCACATTATGTGACTGATATAAACATTGCGAAGATAAAATATGTAATACATATTTACAAATTGAGATTATATTCTAATTTAGCCGATGGAGAGTGAAATTAAAATGTTTATTGAGTATTCAAAAAGCGGAGATAAATATTCTGTTTGGTTTTTTTTTCTCAAAGATGAAAAAGAGCATAGTGCAAAGTGTAAAAAGTGCGCAAAAATTATAAAAACAGCAGGTGGCTCAACAAACGGCTTTCATACACATTTAAAAACAAAGTATGATATAATATTACGAAAACGAGATGCTATTGAACCTCTTGGTGAATCTAGTTCAATATCTGAATTGCCTCCTCCAAAAATTAATAAATATTTAAAAAAAATTACAGAAGACTTCCTAGCAGCAATCTTATCAAGAATGACAGCACTTGATGGGCTTCCATTCAGAATTTCCATAACATCCAATGATTTATGGAATTTATTAACTTCCAAAATCCGCCACAACTATACAAAAAATTGTCACTAGTTGTAGCGAAGCTATTCGGCAGTTAGTAATTAAAGAAATATCAAAATATAGATTAAATGGAAAAGGTTTTAGTATTACTTTTGATGAGTAAGGAACTTAAGGAACCGACGGTACGTGAATCTTCACTCGGAGTCATAGTTTTGGAATTTAGGACTTCTCCGAATCAATGGAAGTTTACCTGCATAAAAATGTCTTACTTTTAAGTGAAAAATTGAATCAGTATGTTTGTCATTAGAAAAGAATATCGTTTGTTTAACAAATGATGGTACAGCAGTTATGCAAAAAGTAGGCAAATTAATACCGGCTGCTCAGCAGTTGTGTTTGGCCCATGCAATTCAACTTACAGTTGTAGATGTTTTATATAAAAAAAGAAAGAACCAAAGAAAGAACCATTTGCTCGAATAAATCAATTGACTTCAACTCATATTCAGATGCCGAAGAGTACGAAAACTATGGTGCCTTTGAAAATATTTCAAATACATACGAAGAAGGTTTAGTTATGGATTACGATATACAAGAACAAGATACAGAAATAACACATAGTCAAATTGGTTCCTTTATACAAAAAGTAAGGGAAATTATGCAAATATTTAAACGTTCACCGTTAAAAAATGACGTACTACAGAACTATGTAAAGCTCGAATTTCGTAAAGAATACTTTTTAATTGCAGATTCCAAAACTAGATGGAATAGCTTATTAGCAATGCTCGAACGTTTTTACAAATTAAAGTCTTACATTCAAAAATCAGATATAGATTTAAAACTTAATATAAACTTTACAGAAACTGATTTTGAAACAGTTTTAAAACAGTTTTATCTCAGCACTTTTCCCGGTAAAATTAGCCGTTGATTCACTTTGTTGCAAGGATGCTAATTTAATTTTTGCGGATACAGCATTGACATTTATGTTTGACAGGCTAAGTGAAACTAAGTCATCATTGAGCATTGAATTTCTGAGTGCTTTAAAACAGCGTATTATTGCAAGAAGAACGCAGTTGTCTGATTTAATTTCTTATCTGCATAAAGGTCTAGAAGGTGGTATAAAAAACTCAAATTTATTAAGTTTTAACTTTCCGCGTGCATCAAAAGCGAGCAAATCTCAATTCACTTTTGGGCATTGTAAATTAGAAGGGACTTTGGAATCAAAGCACTGCTGTTGAAGAACGAGCCCGGGAAATTTTTTACTTTGAGGTTAGTGAAGTTGAAATTGACAAAGGAAAAATTTCTGAGAAATCAATGAAAAAAGAGATGTACAAGGCCATTTGTAAATAAATAAACTATAAGGTTGTCAGGAAACAAATAGAACGCGCTGGTGATATAATCAAGTGTTTAAAAAAAGAAATGAGTCTCTTTAAAGATGAAGGTGTGTGAGGAAAATATCTCCAACAGGTTTATGATCTTCTTTTAACAATTCGACCAACTAGCGTTGAATCCGAAACAGCATTTTCTGCTGCCGGTATCATTTTAAATAAGTTGCGGTACAGAATGGATGACAAAACTCTGGATGCTCTTTGTTTTTTAAGAGCTTATTTTCATAGAATAAAAGATAAAGGTTCTACTATATAGATCAATAAATTTACATTCTTTTCAAGCTTTCGTGATTCGTAAATTTATTTACTTTCCTTTAAAATTTAAAATATTTAATACCGGTTTTAATACCGGTATTATGTTTTTATAATATCGAAATACTGGTATTGATTTTTTGGCCGGTATTGGATTCTTTATTCTCAATTACATCTTGAAAAGGTGAAGTATATATTCGAAATTATTTAGAAAAAAGATAAAAAACGACCTTTCATCTTCTAATGCAGACAACGACGCACTAACAATTGAATTGATCACAAAAAAGAAAACCTGCATGTTATAAACCACCTGATGGCAATATTATTAAACTTGAAACAGATTTTTATTAAAACTAACAATGAAAAAAAAAATTATTTTGTTAGTAGACGAGAACATAGACAGTTTCCCAGCGGGCAAAGAGACGTCGAAATGTTATCCGTTAACGTTCAGGGGCGACGTCGAATTAACAATGGGTTTATATTGGAAATCGAAATGCTATTCAACGTCAAAAAAAAAATTAAAAAAAATTTGAGCGACGTCGGGATTCTCATGTAAATCCGACGTGAATTTTTTTTTTTTTTAAATGTTGCCGTTGGCGAAACTTGTGCTCGTACATCAACATTCCGCGCTATCATTGAGCTACACTATACTGGGTGTAACTTTAACGCTTTATTCAACCTTATATATTTAAGTCTGGGTATAAATAGTAACCGATAATAATTACATTTGTTTAGCTATCGGGTGGACACGGAAAAGTCCGGTCAACTTTAAATTGAGATTTCTCCAAAACCTCAAATGCTTTTTATTTAATTTTTTTTTTAATTAAATCTTACTTCCTCATCTTAAATGGTGTTGATAAATTTTTGTTTACAAATTAATAATTTGCAAAATGTTATGGAAACAATTGAGGTGCGTAAAAAAGTTGTGAATTTCTTTTGCAAAAATCCATCGACTTCCTATCGCTTGATTGCTAAATGCACAAATCTCCCAAAATCTGCAGTCATAGATATTATAAACAAGTTCAAAACTACTCAAAGCTTCGAAAGAAAACTTAGAAGTGGAAGAAAAAAAACTTTCCATAAATCCAAAAAGGTAAAGTTGATTTTACGTTCAATAGCAAGAAATCCAAACCAGTCACAGCGAGATCTAGCAAGAAAATTCAAGACTTTTCGTTCTTATATCAAAAAATTACTTAAAAATGCTGGAATTTCATAAAAAAATACAAAAAGGAATTCGACGCGCAAAGAAGTTGGTTAAAATAATGGCGGATAATAATATGTGCATAATTGAAGACGATGAAACATATTGCAAGGCGGATTTTTCAAAACTTCCTGGTCAACAGTTTCACTATGAAAACAAAGATAAACCTATCGATGATCAAATTAAATATATTCGACGAGAAAAATTTGCATCCAAGTTCCTTGTGTGGCAAGCAATTTGTAGCTGTGGTATGCAGTCCTCTTGTTTTGTCACTAAAAAGACCTTGACTGCCAATCTCTACATCAAAGAATGCCTCCAAAAGACTTTTGCCTTTTATAAAAAAACACAAATACCGATGTCTCTTTTGGCCCGATCTTGCTGCCTCTCACTATTCTAAAAAAGTTCTACAGTGCAAAGATCATAATGTGAAAATTGTTCCTAAAGATGCGAATCCTCCAAATCGTACTGAAGAGCGCAAGATTGAAGATTTTGGGGCAATAGTTAAAGGAGTTCTTCGTAAGACAGGTGGAGTAACAAATAATAAAAAGGACTTCAAAAAAAGTGGATTAATGCTACCAATATGGTGAAAAAAGAAAAAATCAAAACAACCTATCAAGCCCCTTAAAATTAAGTTGAAACTCTAATTTATGCTAACACATTTAATAATAAAAAAATTGAAATAAAAAGCATTTATGGTTTTAGAGAAATCTCAATTTAAAGTTGAACGGATTTTTTTCGTGTCCATCCGATAATAAATTTAATACCGCTAATGATCATTTAATAAATGATCATTTAATGTTAATTATAAATTTCAAAAAAAAGATTTTGATTCCTAAGAAGAGTTCGAAAGAGGAATAAGAAGAGTTCGAAAGAGGAATGGGATCAAATGAATTTTTTGAATTAAAAGAATTCCATCTAATAAAAAAAAAACGAAACAACATAAGTATTTAGTTTTTGTAATGTTAAATACTAAATTGATTTAAAAATTATTTTCCCTCAATTTTTAATAACAGCAAAGATGTTTACGTCATTCAAATTCCCTTTTGTAGAATATGTAATGAAGCAAAATTTAAAAGTTTATACGCTTAAATTAAAAAATTGGAACATTCCACAAAACAAAGTAAACAAAACAAAACTAAAAAAAATGTTGTTTTTTTACTTGCACTCTAAGCAATATCGATTGCCATCTCGCATAATAAACTTCGCACCAGCAAGTTGCTTATCACAACTCCTACAAATGAAACACTTACTATGCCAGTACTTTGATTCGTAATCGATAAACTTTGTATTGCCTTCTATTGGACCGAAACAAGATGCACAACGCTTGGCGTAATTTACAAGGAAGCAATCATCGCAATAAGGATTTGTCTCATACTTGTAAAACTGAGCACCTAAATAAAACAAGATGTGCGTGTGTTTATTAAAGCACGCTAAGGTTAATAAAATGAAAAAAAAAAAGCCTCACCGCCCAATTCTTTCTTGCAATTTTCACAAAAAAAACACTTTGTGTGATACATATTTCCCTCAAACTTTATGCTCGATCCCCTGATCAACTCTTTGCATTTAAAACACGGCTATTATACGAAATAAAGCATATAAAGTACCAAATAACACGTAGCACAAAACAATTATATAAAAATTATTATAGAACTTAAATATTAGCAAAGAAATAAATACTTGACAAAAATTTGAAGTAACAGATTAAAAAAAAAATTTTGGAAAAAAAATGTGTTTTTAAAAACCTTCGCAGTTGTTTCGAAACAATCATTGCATAAACGGCGCCCATCAGCTTTCCGAATAAACTTTTGTGATCCAATTGGCTTTTGACATTCCGTGCATAAAAAGCAACGCTCGTGAAAGTAGTTCTCTTCAACCCCTACTTTTTTTTCTTCAGGTAGAAAAGGTTTTTCGCAGGATTTGCAAAATTTAGATTTTTCTGGATCTACACCACGACATGCGTGACAGAGAGGCCTCTCGTTTACGAATGAAAACGTTTGACTTTCCTATTAAAAATCGTATGCAATCACTCACCGATATTGAAGGGAAATTGAGTTTTATAACTTAAAAATCAACATTTTTTATTTTTTTTAAATACTATTTTGAGTAAAGACTTTTTTTTTTTTAAACAAATTGAGTTAAGTAAGGTTTTTAACTTACCAAAGCTTTATTACACGAAGAACAAACTAAACATTCCTTATGATAGTGCCGATCTTTTACGAAAAAATCTTTACTTTCCGGACTAATTGGCTGTTTACACTCAAAGCATGTGTTAGCCATGCTTTTAACATAACATCGCTGACAATACGGTCGCTTATTAATAATAATGTACTTTTTACCAGTTATAGGAACATCACATTGCCAACAGCAAAAATGTTCAACGTGCCATGATTTTTCCATGGCTTTTGTAAATTCACCAATGTAAATTAACTAAAAAACAAACAAATTGATCGTAAGTTTTAAAAGAATAACAAACAATAAAATATTAGTTGTTTTAACACGATATTAAGAAAAACTTTACTTTACCAAAACAAAACAAGATCAAATACATCTGCAATAAGAACTACATATCACATTCGAGTTATCACGTTTTTTAATTCAAAATATGTAGACAAATTTTTTTTTTTAATTAAGTTGAAACTTAATTCAATGCTAAATCATAGAAAATATTTTTTTTTTGCCTGGTTGCTAACTTAATTCGCCAACGTCGTCTGTGTTATAAACTTTTATTATTTTATACTCAATTACTCAATAGGATGAATAAATAAGTTTTTAACATTAAAAAAAATATATATATATGTTACATGTAAAATTACTCTTTACATCCTTAACTATTGCAAATAAGATTGAAAAAGAAAGTAAAAAACACAATGTAAAAGTGGTAACAACAAAAATATTAAAAATTAAAATATATATAATTATAGTTAACTATATAAATATAGTTAAAATCAAACCTCTTCACAGCCATGACATCTTGGTTTTATCTGTTCAGCCCAATGCCTTCCGCAATAAATTTTCTTTTCATGCACAAAATAAATAAGATCTACAAGAAGCTCATCATCTACGCAACATTTAAAGCACTGTGGATGCCAGCAAAATGATTCCCCTAAACGTTCAGTAAACACTGCCATCTCTCCTGAATTTATGTTCATAGAGCAATTATGACAAGAAAGAACTTTTGAAATTAATTCTTTAACACAACCTGTAAGATTATTAAACAATTTTATACAAAGAATTAAAAATTTTTGTATATGCTCAGTTTTTACATTGTAGTATGCTATTACAAATATAAAATTTAAAAAATATTTTTACCTATTCCCAGAGCAGATTTTAAACGAAACTTGCTTAGTTCATCAAAAGAGGGCTTTGCATCTTCTTTTAAAAAATTAGCATATTTTCTATTATAATCCTGTTTTGGCAATTGATAAAATATTTGCCTAGCTCTGTAACGTGCACCTTCACTATCTGTCTTGGGAACTTTGGACTTTGGAATTTTTCTCATAAATGATTCAATCTTAAATAGTTTGATTATTATTTTTAGAAATGTGAATAACATAAATGTTATAAAAGTTGATAATAAATTTCAAATTTATTTTATTTAAAAAAAAAAGGCGAAAATAAATAATAAATTACTACAACAAAAAATCAAAATAACATAAAATTAGAGTACAATATTCAGACTACATAAAATTAGAGTACAATATTCAACATACACCTGAATCTAAGGATTACCTTTAAATAAACTTGTTTTCAGTTTTTTTTTCAAATATGCTTAACCAAAAACAAATAAAACTACAATCAATTTTCCTGATGCATTTTGATGCTTGTACAAAAAATTTATTTTGGGATTTAGACTATATATCTCTAGTCAGATGTAAATAGTCCCAAAATAAATACCTTTTTTTTGTTTGTTGGCAAAACCCATAAGATACCTCTTGATACCACTTGACACCTTGCACTGCCCTTATATTTTAGTAAGATCATAACATGATCTGAACCACCTAATGTAAAACAAATAGAAACTGAGCACAAGCTAGGTTTAGAGACAAGACACAAATCAAGAAGTGAAGGTTTTTGGTTGTCTGGAAAGCTGAATAAGAGAAAAAAAAGACAAATATTTTTATGTATAGAAGTCTAAGGTCATTGGTACTAGGTATTCTAAGGTATTCAGTGTGATTAGCAATGAAGTCATTAACAACAATAACATTGGTTGAGGGAAAAAAATGCTCAATCAATTTGATCAAAAACAAAGAGTGCAGTCTTAAGAAAAAGGAGAAAAATAAAAAACAAAAAGTATGATAATTGAGTGAAGAGATGCTAAAGAAACCACATTAAAGAATATTTATGGGATTTATTCGATTGAAAGATTTTGGTTTAAATGATGGTTTTTGTTTTTATTATCTACTTTTAAATACCTTTTTTATATTTTTAATATTTAGAGAACATGACTCAATAACAGAGTATGACACCCTAAGCAATAAGCGGTTGCCTTATTTCTACTAATCAAACTATAATAAAAGTCAAAACAAAGGTCTTAACAGCGCACTCTCAAAACTAACAGGGACACCTCCTATGCACAACATGGCATTTATTATACTCTGATATGTTATAGCTGTTAATTGAGTTTGCCTCTCACAGAGTTTAAGAAACCTTACCACCAGCTGAACTTAGAACTGTTAAATTGAGTTTTAGAGGTATAATTTCATTAGGAGATAAATGAAAGAGCTGCATAGCCACCACTAAGGTGGCAAAAGCAATAGCCCATGAGTAGAGTCAAAAAGATTCATCATTCATTATCCTAGATAGGAAACAATCTAACACAGACTAGCATTTACACAACCAATTAGATAAAAAAAGAGTGCACTGCTTATCTTTAGTCTTAAACTTTTTTAGCCTACACTTAATGTCTTTGTGTTGGAAACCTTCTATATTACATTAGCTGAATGCAATTAAAGTCTGGTAAAGATGAGTATTTTTATTGATACACCATCTCAAGCTTTTACTCAACCAAGAGCCCCAAGGCAGGGGCTAAAATTAACTTCTAACCTTTGTCTAGAAAAACTGGCACTACAAGGCAGCAGGAAACAAGGCAAGCTGTACTAGGTTACATATTATCAGTAGTAAGTTGGTTATGATGACTCTAATACTAACCTGAAATTATAATTGTTGCTTGTGACAGAGTAAAATTATTTTTTTAAGTTTTATTTTGAAATTTTAAAATTAGAATAGTTTTCAAAAAAATTATAAACTGTTTATGCTATGATAGGCATAAAATATTATATAATATTATATACTGTTTATGTATATGATATGTTAATAAATATATTTAATTTATTCCTAAAAACTGTATAATACAGTTTTTAGGAAACTTAATTCCATAAATTTTTAAAGAATTCTCTAAAGCACATACAATTAAAATCATTTAAAGTAATGAATAACAAATAAGTGGTTTTCCGATTGCTTGTTATTTAAAGAGTTTTATTTGCATGGAAAAACCAGTACTTACTATTGTACCAGAGTTTTATTATAAGTTCTGTATTAACTACTGATAGTAAACTACTGATACTAATTATTGCAGTGTTGTTGATGAGATTTTCATTGTCATTTATTTCTAAATAACATATTTTGAGCAATAACTATTATTCTCAAATGTACTTGTAAAATTCAACCAATTAAAATAAATAATAATTAATTACACTAAATCATGTTGATTATGTATAATAAAAGTAATCAATGGTCTAATCTCTTAAAACCTAGACAAATTTTAATTTGATTTACAAAAATATAATTTGAAATGCTATCACATCAAAACTGCTTCAAAAGTAAATGTATAAAATGATTTATTTCATAACTATAATTTGTAATTAAGAATATAAAACTATTATATTATAACTATTCGTTTATATATTATTTTATCATTTATAAATTAATTCCAACAGTAAAAATAATTATAGCTTACTTGTAAAGTCTTTAAACCTCTTGGTATCCAGTTGTACCCTTCTGTAAGAGCTATATCATATTCTGAGCTTAAAGGAGGATTTATTTCTTCAACATCAAGTCGATTAAAAGGCAATCCTGGACTGTTTTGAGGAACATCATGTCTCCAAAGAGCACATTTGCAATTGCCACAACCTCGCCTGAAAAAAAAAGATCTTTTAAATTTTTTAAATGTAAATATGATGAAGGTTTGACTTATAAAAAAATTATAATTAACTACTAAGTGAATATTTGTGCTAATATTTCGTGGTGATTATTACTGAATAATTATATTTTATTTAAATTTTCCTCAGTAATGAGAGGAATACAAGAATAAAAACTTTTATAAAACTTTTCAAAGCTTTGAGTCAACACAAGTTATTGGGATAATTAGCTACTTTGCTATGATAGGCTGTTATTATCAAATTATGTTTTTCCATCAGTCACTCACTACTTGTGTATGGCCATTATTATTAAAAAATAAAACAAGCATAACCAAGAAATTACTATATCAAATATATTCCATGCATTTTTTTTTATTTTATTAATTAAATGTGCATATGCAGAGCATAAATGCACATATGCACTGCTTAAAATGACACATATGCAAAGCACAAATGCACTGCCTAAAATGACACATATGCAAAGCACAAATACACATATGCGCTGTTTAAAATGATACATACAAACATCACTACTGTTCAAAAAAACAAGTAAAAAATACATATCATAGGAATTTTTAAATATGTTTTTATTAGCTAATTAATACCACTTAAAAAACGATTGAAAGATGTCTTCTAATTTTTGCAATCAATTCAAGTTGAATTGTGGTTAAAAGATAAGTAAGTGTTTTATTCATTGTTATTTAGCCAATATTAAACCAAAAATAAAAATTAACAAAAACAAATATTAAATTTAAAAACATTCCAATTATTTAAAGTAATTATTTGATTTTTTTATTGCAAAAAAAAAAATTTTACTTAATAACAACTTTGAAACTACACATTAAAACTCACTAAAAAATGACTTTAAAACTTTTATAAAAATATGAATTAATTTTTGCTTGATTTCGTTTTTAAAGATTATCATATATTTATCATAGAAATATTTAATTTACCTCCATGAATGTTGACAAAATCCAGGACATTTTTCTTTACAAATCAAACAAGAAACACCCTCCACAGCACTAAATTCTGACTTTTCATACTAAATTAAAAATATAATGAAAAAATAAAGAAAATATAAAGCTGGAAATAAATTTATCTTATCAATTTATTTTTAATAACTTTTTTTTTCTTTTTATCAATTTAAATTAATTTGCTGTTGATTTACATAATATTTAGATGATAATTCTTTTAATTCTTTTTTTCATTATAGCTAGAGATTGATCATATTTAAAGTCATCGATTGATGCATTGTATAAACTTGATCATATTTAAAGTCATCGATTGATGCATTGTATAAACTTGATCATATTTAAAGTCATCGATTGATGCATTGTATAAACTTGATCATATTTAAAGTCATCGATGCATTGTATAAACTTGATCATATTTAAAGTCATCGATTGATGCATTGTATAAACTTGATCATATTTAAAGTCATCGATTGATGTATTGTTAATCTTAATTGTATTCTTAATCTTTTCAAATATTCTCAACATTCTCTAGGAAATCTATCCTGATTTTTTGAACACTGCTAATATTGTCTATTTTTGAAAAAAAAAGTTCAAAATTATTAGTTTTTAACTATAGACCATCTTTACTCTATCAACAAAATTTCTAAATTTAGTTGTCTAAAGTAATTACTCAACATCATTGGCCCTATTAAGTTTGGTTAAAAAGTGCTCAAGATAAATAATGTTTGAGAAACTTATTAGACCTCCAAAAAAAAAAGCCTTTTATAGTATGGATTTAAAAATTTTACCATGGTATGGTATGGTACATATGGTATGGTATATATGGTATAAAAGGAGTTTCTTAGTTCTTAGTTCAAGTCTTTCCTTACAACTAACTAACAGTTTTATACATTAACTGGTTGACCTTTAACACCTTAAATGTTACTGTTGCAATAATAAAGAAGAGAAAGGAGAAAGAAAATTAAACTATAACACAAATTATAAACCTCTTTTTTTTTCATATGTAAAATAGTTTTACCTGCAAGCTAATCCTTTCCAAAAGTTTTTCAGAAAAATATTGATTAATTATATAGATGTCTTTCCATGCAATGTCACATCTTTTTGTAAACAACATGCGCCCATATTTGTAGGCAGAAATTAAAATCTTACAATTATACAATCATAAATTCATAATACAAATACCATTTATAATTGTTTTTTGCATATCTTTTATATCCTTTAATAAAATTTTGTCATCTTTTTAAAAAATGATTTAAATAATAAGTTACATTTAAAATTTTGTTTACTTTTTGGAAAATAATGGAAATAATTAGTTACATAAAAAATGTAACTAACTATAAAAATAATTAGTTACTTTTTTTTTTTATATTGTAAAAATAAGAATTTTTATAAACTTTGATTGCTATTAAAAACTTTTATGTATATATTTTATGTTCTACTGCAAATTTTATATTTAGATTGATCTCATAAAACAACAACAACAAAAATTCTTATAAGCTTTTTCACCTCATATTGCTTTTAAAAATCTTTTGAAATTTAATAAATAACAACATCATAATTGAATATTTCTAAGTAAGAAAATTTGCTGGCCACTCTGAATATATACATTTACATTAATCAAATACACTCATATTAAAATGATCAAAGGTATTCATATTCAACATGGTATTATATAATAAATTGAGTGATCCTCACAGTCATAATTAACGGGAAACATTTTATACATCAAATTCCTCTATTTACGAACATTATGTATATTATGTATAACATTAGAAAGGTGTCTAGATTTTGCATCCAGATAATTGTAGTCTTTTGTAAAAGCTGAGATTTTGAATGTTGCGCCAACAGCATTTTCAATATCAAGTCATCTGTGTTGTGAATTAATGGTAGTAAATTAAAACTCAAGCTGGTATAAAAGACTTTATTAAGTTAATTAATAAATATGGTAAACTAAAGATACAGTCAACATCCTTCTACACTGAGTTTTCAAGTTCATCTTCCTTTCCATTTTAAAAAGTCTGAAAAAAAATTATTTAGTTTGGCTGATGTTAGATTTTGGTATGAATTTGTTTACTTTGTTCAACACTGCTTGATTCTAAGGGTTTTAGGTTGAAATTCAAAAGACATCAGGTTTTTCTTCAGATTCTATTAATATATATATAGCTGGAATGCGTCAAAAATAAAATCCAAAACGTTTCTTCTGAGTCCAACATTGATATTTTCTGAAACTTAGAAAATAGTGTTTAAAAACTATAACATCTTTATTATTTTAGCTATCTCTTATTACAAATATCATAAAAATCCACATGACCATTTTGTCTTCCTCTTCAAAATGTAGTTAATTTAATATATAATTATACCTTTAATAGCTTGATAACTTAATGGCTAATGTGAATAACGTGAACGTGCTACTAGAATTATTTTTTTGGATCTGTTCTATACATTACAGGTTTCAAAGCAAAATAAAATGCATAGAAAACAATTTTATACTAAAATTATGTTTTATGCATTTTAAATAATTTTAATATATATGATCTTATTGCTTAACAAAGTTAAACAATAAGATCATATATATTATATAAATAAGTTAAAACATACATGAGTTTAATTAGTTTAAATTCTCATAGAGCTGTAAGTGAAAGCCACTTTTTTAAGCTTTAATCTGTGGTGTTTGTTAGTCTCTGCGACGGCATAGCGCTTCAATATTTTGTGTTAAATTTTTATGCACAGCCCCACATGTTTGCTCATAAAAAAACCCAAGAGGTTTGTATATATATATATATATATATATATATATATATGATTTTTACCTGTACTAAACTTTTGCAAGGTTTTAATGCAGGTATATAATTGAATTGGTGCTACCAGCATCATTTTATCCAATAATTTGAAAATGTTACCACAACTGGGTCCGTCCAATCCGCCACCATTATATAATTATACCCATAAAAAAGGTTTTCAGGTCCTTATTGACAATGAGTGTCAACAATTTTTGTTACAACATACTCATGTGAAGTTTCGGTGGAGGAATGGTGTCAATAATAAATTTTCTGGGATCTTCCTCAAAAGTGTTCAAGTCACCTGATGAGCTAATTGTACCAGTACAGTAACAACAAACATGTTTTCTATCATGACTCTATAATAAATTGTTTTGTTATTCTGAGAAAAATATTTTAATTAAATATTTTAATTTCTCTTACTGATATGCGAAGAAGTACATTTATGAGCTTTAAGTAAGAAGCCACAAAAAATTTGAGCTGATTTATATTAATTAATTTAATAAGTATTCAACAATTATGGTTTTTTTCCTTTACATTACCACCAAAGCCAGAGTTATCAACTTGTTCTCTTCTGAGTCTTTCTCATTTCTACTTCTCTCCTTTAACTTTATTTCATCAAAAATATTTATTGTTGAATAATAATTCTATTTTTTTTTTTTTTTTTTAATTTGCATAATATAATATAAAGTAGTTTAAGTTTCTAAACCTTCAGTGAACCCTGTCCTCCATCAATTTCAACTCTAATAATGGCTTTCATAGGATCTAATCCACATAGATAGCATTTTTCTTGAACAAGTCTGGTCAGATCTTTAATGTATACAATATCCTTCAACACTGAGTTTTCAAGTTCATCTTCCTTTCCATTTTAAAAAGCATTTTTTTTGTAACAGTAAAACTCTTCTAGAGCATGAGAACGCTTTATAACCGTAGCAATTGAATTCTTTTCAACACCTAGTTCAGTGTTCCCACTATTAAAACTGAGGCTAAAAGTAAGGGTTTTAAAGAGATTTAAGGAGATAATTTCCTAATATTTAAGGAGATTTGGTTGCATATAACAAGTTAGTGACAAAAAAAAAAGTGTGCGTACTTTACAGACGATAAAAAATCCCAAATTGTAAACAATGTGAGTTATATCATAAATTTTTTGAAAATAAATGAACTAAAATACTGCCATTTTAATTATATTATAAAATTTTAAAACACAGAGAGGACCAAGATCTTTTTGTAAATCTCTAAAAATATCACAAACAACATTTTCAGGCAGATCATGATTTTTCTTGATATAAAATAACGTATCAGTAGAGACTTTATTTGTTTAGAGTTTAGGTTTTAGTACTGCATATAAAAGTGATCCTCCTAAAAGTAAAATAAAATATTGCAGCAAATCATTATAAATAAAAATCTATTCATGGGTAATTGTAATGAATTTTTAACCTTTACTAGAAACTTTAGAACAGTTGAGTTTATTTGCTTTGACATCTTTTTATCCTTGGAAAGAATAAGATTCTTAGCATTTTGAACAGCAGATGTTCAGGTGTATGGGTGCCTAATACTCTTTCCAACTAGTTGAAAACAATCTGTGCAGAATGAGTTTAATCTTTCAATGCAACTTTCTTTAACTTTTTCCAACCTCTTCAATCAGTTTCATAAGCTTTCCTTTCTGTGAACAAGATTATTTGTATTTTTAATAAATTATTTTAGAAAAATTTAATAAATTTATGAAATATTTATAAAATATAATAACCATTTTGACATAAAGAGCATTTTTGCAACGGCAGCAAAGTCAAGTCAGAAATGCATTTATATCCAAACTGAATCCTTCATGTACATAGTCTCAAATTAGTGTCACCTATGATGGCCTACTACGAAGAGAGTAGTTGTCAATTTTGTAACAGCAACAAAAACAGACTGAATTTCTGGATTGATTATGATTTTTTTTCCTTAAAAAATGATCCATTTGAAATGTAATATTTATCTTGGGTAGATTTTTAAAATAATATCTACTTTTAATATTAATCAAAATAAATGTTTAAAAAGTTATAAAATTTTTATACAAATTTTAAAAAAAAGTTACAAAAAGTTATAAAATTTTTATACAAATTTTAAATATTATTAAATTTTAACAGTTAACATTCCTATACAAGACATCAAGCTTTAAGAGCTTTATTATTTAAACTGTTAAAATTATTATTTAATATTTAGTTAACCACATTTTAAAGACAAAGACAATGGATGGTTGTGTGGGTTTTTACAATTTTTATAAGAGATAGCTAAAATAATAAAAATGA